ATCGGAGGTCTTGCTTTTCTTATCGGCGCAATCCTCAATGGTATTGCCATGAACGTCGCTTTGCTCATTATTGGTCGTTTGTTCCTTGGTGTAGGAGTTGGGTTTGCCAATCAGGTAGGGCTAAACTTCTTACTTTCATTTTTGTTTCCTATCTTAATATCCAAAATACCCAAATTCTTATGTTTGAATAATTTATGACAGTCTGTTCCGGTTTATCTGTGCGAAATGGCACCAGCAAATATGAGAGGGGCACTGAATATTGGGTTTCAGATGGCCATCACCATCGGAATCTTTATTGCAGGACTAATCAACTACGGTACAGCACAAATTGAGGGCGGATGGGGATGGAGAGTTTCGTTGGCTCTTGCAGCCGTTCCAGCTATAATGATGACCTTCGGGGCTTTCATCTTACCTGATACCCCGAATTCAATTCTTGAGAGGGGTAAAGTTGAGAAGGCAAGACAAATGTTGCAGAAGATTCGTGGCACCCAAAATGTTGACAATGAGTTCCAAGACCTCCTGGAAGCGTCCGAAGCTGCAAAGAAAGTGGAGCACCCATGGAGGAACATCTTGCAACCAAGATACAGGCCTCAGCTCACCCTTTGCATTCTCATTCCATTCTTCCAGCAACTCACTGGCATTAACGTCATCATGTTTTATGCTCCTGTTCTATTCAAGACCTTAGGTTTCGGAGATGATGCTTCCCTTATCTCCACAGTTATTTCTGGAGGTGTCAACGTTCTTGCCACCATCGTTTCCATCTATTGCGTGGATAAACTCGGAAGAAGAGCTTTATTCCTCGAAGGCGGTTCTCAAATGATCATTTGTCAGGTTGAATTCCAGATCCTTCACAAAATCTCCTCTCCTTCTAGCTCGATAATATTTTTGAATTATCCATTGACTATTGGTTTCCTGATGTAGTTTGCGGTTGGAGCCATGATAGCAGTGAAGTTTGGGCTCAATGGTGAAGGAGTCTTATCAAAAATCGATGCCAATGTGCTTCTATTATTAATCTGCCTTTATGTTGCAGCATTTGCATGGTCTTGGGGGCCAATGGGATGGTTGGTGCCCAGCGAAATTTGCCCTCTGGAAATCCGATCTGCTGGACAAGCCATCAACGTCTCCGTTAACATGATTTTCACCTTCTTCGTTGCTCAAGCCTTCCTTTCCATGCTTTGCCACTTGAAGTTTGGCCTCTTCTTCTTCTTCGGGTGCTTCGTCATTATCATGACTATCTTTATTTACTTCTTCTTGCCAGAGACCAGGAATGTCCCAATTGAGGAGATGAACAAAGTATGGAAGGAACACTGGTTCTGGAGAAAATACATTCCGGATGAAGCTGTCATTGGTGCCAGGAGAAACAATGAAACAAGAGATATTTGAATATGAGAGTAAAACAATTAATTTTACTATTAAGGTTAAAGTTCTGGGTGTTATAATAGGAAAGGGAAACAAGATGTAGAGGAAAATATTGTACCATTTCTCTTTGGCAATAATATTCCAGAGTTTTTACCTTTATTTTTACCTAATCCATGCATAATTATTAACATAATATCTTTGATTTAAAGTTTAAACACAAAAATAAGTAAGTTTATCAAGCAACTAAAAGAGAAACTTAAAGCCAATGACTACTCAGGCACTATTGAAAAGAAATTTATCGTACACCCAGCCTATCGTGAAAGAACTGCTGTGATGCAGGGAAGGTAGGGGTAGAACAAAGACAAACTAAAAACTCCGTAAAATTAAAGATGAAACCAAGAAAACTTAGGTTTTCAACCTTAAGTTTATTCTCAACTAAAATATCCTAACAAAACTGTTCTTGAAATCTAAGAAGAATAACTATATATACTAACAAGAGCTAGGAATCCTAATTCAATTCTAATTTGAACTTCTAATAAGCATTGAACTTCTAATAAACTACTAATTCTAATCCTGATTAAAAATGACTTTTCTAAAATTAAACTTAGACTCCAAATAAAAGTCAAATTTAATGCAAAACAGACAGCCCTAAAACTAATCATTAAAAAGAGCTCTATGCTCCTGCATCATGCTGCCATGCGACGCAATTGCAATTGTTTCAAAGAGCAACAACCAAGCATACGTACAAAACCTGAATGGAAAAATCTACCTACATTTGCAATTAATTTAATCAAAAGAAGGGGAAGAGGAACAGCTCATGTACACAACCATATCTCAAACCATTTTTCACTAAAATCCATCTATTTTACAACTCAATTATACAATTAGATATTTATAGAAACTTTACAAAAATATAACCAAAAAAGGGTAAAGATAGAGATTTTAGATTCCAAATGAATGGGAAGATATGCTAAGATATAGATATTGTTTCCAATAGAGTGTCAAGATACTCCTTAAGCTTCACCTTTGTAATCGCACCTTCTCTTCTACTCTCAGGAACTTCTTGCCCATCCTTGAAGAGAATCAGGGTTGGCAATCCATACACTTTGTACTCCTCAATAAGTTGTGGGTTTGCATCATGATCAATCTTTATGACTGTCAATCTGTCTCCATATTCCTAACAATAGTGAAAGGAACTCCATTGGAGGAAGGATGAAATAAATATAATGTAGTTGAGAGGTACGAGATTCAGCATACACTCCTGAGATATTATTGATTCCATCACCTAATGTTAAAAATTGGTCATTGATTTATAAATGATGCTGGCAAAATTTTAATTCCAATAAATGACAACAGTTCACTGTGATGATAATGTTCTTAACACCCATATGTCATTTACTAAAATTATTTTACCTATTGCCTAGTTCTAAAAGAAATGCCATTCCGTGAAAGAAGGTTTCTTTTCCTATTTAGGTGTTCTAGTTAAAGCATTATTAGAAGTTAACAAGAATGCCATAGGACTTCAGCAGCAAGTATGTAGAAAAAGGATTATCATTCTGCTAACATGCAAGTCAGCCATAAAAATGGAAGTTTAGATTGGGTTACAAGATGATATGTATGTTTCTAACAAAAATAGAAAGGGTCCTTTTTTTTTATCAGTCCGAAGCATGCTGGGGTTGACAGGAAGACTTCAGTCTAGCTCCTATATCTGTGTGAATTAAATAACTGTCGTCATGCCAAATTGTGTATTCTAACTGTCGTCAACCCTGAAGCTATGAACTTAAATCCTCCCTTAAAGATGACTATTAACACTTACAACCCTCCTTCACATGCCTACCCCTCTCTCAACCCACACCATCATAATCCCAATTTATGGACTATTAAAAAAATACCCTCATTCTTTTTACACAAAAGGAAACTCTCTTGCATAAGGCAAAGACACTTCATTCCAAATATCTTAAATTCAGCCACGAATTTACCTTGGGCTTATACAGCCTACAGGCAAGCAATGGCTAAGGGGTAATTATATTAAGGTTTTGGCAATCAGAAGTCCACTAGCCCAAAAGACCCTGTAGTCTGGCAGACTATTTTAAAAACACAAAGTTGGGTCCCTTTAGCAATTAGTACATTTTTTATTGTCAAAATCCCAGTATCATTTAGTTTTTCTTCAAATACTTTTCCATATCTTTGCAATTGCCATAAGAAAGAAAAAAAGGCTCAGCCGGACTATGCTGTACACAACAGCCACGGATTGGCAAGTGCAGAACAAACAAATTTCTTGCATATTAAACAAAAGCAAATGGAAGAGAAAATAAGTGAATCTTTTAGCCCACACAACATAACTATGCCACTAAACTATGTTAGATTAACTCATCTCTATATACAAAACAACAATCAGATTTATCAACATTAAGATGGTTTTAGTTAATTTAAAGGTGGTATTTCAGACAAAGAAACCACAATCTATCTCAAATAACCATAAACAAGAAAAATTCATACATATATATTCAAAGAAAAGTGAAAATGAAGAAATAACGAATTTGTTCACCACATTACCATTATTGGAACTAATAGGACTTACACCTCAAACAAACAAAATAATGCATTTTTCTCAGCAATTTTAACAGACAGCTCTGTTATCTGTTCCTTGTATTTGTATCTAGAACAATTGATCAAATTGTATCAAATCATGTGCTAGCATGACTGTCATGACAATATCAACCCAATTAACTTTTTCCTCTTACTTTAGGCAAATTCCGGGCTAAGCTCTCAATTTAAAACTTTTATTAGCAACCATAATCCTGTAGTCTCATTAGTCTCACTCTTATATTTTTCTCAAAATTATCTCTTCTATTTCTGAGTCCAATAAAACAAAACCCAGAAATTTTAACTTTGTTTCACATTTATTACAAGTAGTAACTTTTTTTTTTTTATTTGTATGAATTTAGTTACAGCATAAATTGCAAACATAATTGATGACACCCAACTTCCTTTTCCCTAATCAATACTGAGAGAGTTTGAAATTACTAGCACAGTTACAGACTTACAGTTAAAAACTAAATTAAAAAACATAACTTAAGAAAAAAAAAAAAGAGAGAAAGAAAGAAAGAAAGAACAAGAATGCATATGCAAATACCTGAGCGATTGATTCCATGGCAGGAGAGATTAAGCGACAGGGTCCACACCAATTGGCAACGAACTCAACGAGAACCGGACGGTCTGATTCCAAAACCGTGCTCTGGAAATCATTCTTATTAATCTCCCTAATGGCACCGCACCAGACTACAAATTTAGGAACCTTGTAAACATTGCGAGACCTCAGCAGCTGATGTTTTCTCTGGCATGAAAACCCAAACCGGAGCTTGTTCCTCAAAGAAATGAAGTCAGTAGAGTGTGAGTTGGGTGGTCGGAAGAGTAAGCTTACTGGTGGGATCGATGGTCGGAGCAAAGACAACGAGCCGGAGAGAACCGTATCCATTAGTTTCCTCAAGAGAGAGTCTGGAAAGCATCTCGAGAGATTCCGACTTTAGGTGACGGATTGTAAAATGTGTGACGGAGAGGCGACAACGTCTGTCCCGTTCCCCGGGAAACACGTGTTCGGCACGTGACTGAATCGGACCTCCGTTGTTGTGGCCCCATGCATGAAAAGCATCAGCCCTAAGATAAAAAATAAGATAAGGCCGCAAACTTTGACCTCATTTTTAAGCCGCGCAAAGTGCCCCATTTTCAATAGCTACTAATGGGATGGAAGATGACACTTCTACGTTTCATAGTTAAATAAAGAGTACACTCATAATTAAGTAAAGGGTGATTCACGGTATGGACTTTACTTAATTTTTTTTATTTTTAATTAAGATCACAAACTTTAATAGGTTTTTTTTTATTTTTTTCTGTAATAGGTGGCATTCATAATGGAGTTGACCCATAAAGTCTCTAGGTTGCCAAGTTTGTAGTAAATCAGCAATCAAAGTGCAAAATGGAACCTTTGCTATGAATTCTCACCCATTAAGGTCACTATTGTGGCTATCAAGACAACTTCCACCTAATGGATATACCATATGTTCTCCCATTATCATTTCAATTCCTACTTAAAACCAATAGAAAAAAAAAAGTCTACTAAAAAAATTAATCAAACCTAATTGGAGAGAACTATTCATCTAAGTCTTGGTTCACAAGATCTCTCCCCCCTAGTTAGACCAAGGACTAAATGTAAGCAAAATAAAATTTGTTGGACCAAACTTAACTACAATATAAAGAAACCTAAGGACTAGATTACAAACCCTAAGAAATTCTATTCCTCAAGACTATCCATCTAACCACTACGCCATCTCCTCTAATAGTTTCACCACACCCCAACCTAGTTTTTAAACACAACCTCACCATCCCTTCCTTCCTCCATGCCCATCACTGGCCAAACCACCCTTTCCTTGAATGTTATCCACTCCAAGTAACCAACCACCCTTCTAAGCCTTATTCACCCTCCTCCCTAATCTCGTTGCCACTACTTCTTATATGCCTTCCTCTATTCATCCATGCCTATTGTAACTATAGTCCAATAGAGAACCTAATCATCATTAAAGCTTGCAAAACCCCATGTCACACCCTTGCAATCAACTAAACTAAATCTAGTCCTCACTATTCAATGTTGCCTTTACTGCTTACACTTGCCTCCTCTTACACCCAATGCCATGATTGAAACCACTTTCAACCACTTATCACCAGATGAAACAAACATAGCACTATTTGGAATGAAACCATAGATAAAAGATGTGAATAGAATAAACCCCAAATGGACTAACCACATAGAGGAGATGAAAAGAGAAGGAGCCCTAACTTAGGACCAATACTTGAAAAGGGACACAATCACTTGAAGGGAGGCATAAACTTTTTACTTGCAAACCCTAAACAATGATGAGAAAAGAAGAGAAAGAGTATAAGATTGTATACAATTGATGCAGTACAGATATCTTGATTGAGACATTACACAAAATTAGGAAGACATGGAGAAAACTTGCCATTTATAGCAGTCAAACCCACAACTTCAATAGTCTTACCCACAACTTCAATAGTCTTTTAAAAAAGTTACGAACTACTTATGATTCTCAAATACAATTAAATTAGACAAAATTCCATAATGCTATGAACTCCTTTTCTTCTCTCTCCTACATCACATGCCATGTCACTTTAATAATTTAATGTGTTTCATTTTTTTGTTAAAAAAATTCATTGGTAAATTATGCAAATCAACCCCCCTACTCTATGTCAAGCAACGTTTTCACTAGCAAGTAATGCCCTCTAGTTGCCAATTTGGGCAAATTGGCATTTATTTCATGAATGACATCATTTGATGTCATCAATTCATCACATGTCTATTTGTTGACCATTACCACCTTCATATGCCTCGCTTTTTTTAAGTAAAAAAAAAAGAAAGAAAAAGTTGAACATTGACAAGGAAGGAAAAAAATGAAAATTTCCTAGTTAAAAAAAAAAAAAAAACTAATGGGATAGTTGGAGGTAGTAATGGTCAACAAGACCAAACAAAAAAAATTGGCATCATCCATGGGGCTAATTTGCCTAGATTGACAACTTATAAGGGTTATTTTCCAATGAAAAAAAAAAGGTGAGAATATGGTCATAAACCTAAAGTGGAGTAGAATGGCACACTACAAAAAAGAGGATTTTTAGTGACAAAAATTTGTGATAAATTTTGAAATTGTCATTATAATTCATTATAACTGTGATAGATTTTAAAAATTAGTCACAAATACACATATGTTCAATGATGATGAAAAAAATTCATCACTAAAAAGATATTTCATCACTACCATATAGTTACAAAAAAAATATAAGCTTGTAATGAAAAGATTTGTCATTATAATTCATCACAATTATAATAAATTATAAATATTAGTCATAGATACCTATATGTTCAATGATAATAAAAAAAATTCATCACTAGAAGGTATTTCATCACTTAAAAATTGTCACCGAGAAAATATAGGCTTGTGAGGATGAAAATCGTGACTATAACTTATCACAATTGTGATACATTTTAAGTATTTGTCACAAATGACTACATGTTCAATAATGATAAAATAAATCATCTCTAAAAAATAGTTATATATAGAATATAAGCTTCTAATTATACAAATTATCACTATAATTCATCACAATTGTGGCAAAATTTAAATTTTAGTAATAGATTTTACCCATTTTCACCCATATTACATTTTAATAACTAAAATTTTTTTTAAATTTATATTTTAAGTATATAATTATTTTTTGGAGGAAAGACTTGATTGCATAATAACTTAAGTTTAACGATTTAAGTTAAAATATTTTAAAAACTTAATAGCAAGAAAAGTTAAAATACTAAGCAAAATTGAATAACTTAATAGTTTTGGGTTCAAAGTATTCATAAAGTAAAAGATTAAGGATTCTATTTACTAGTTTACCAATAAAGAAATTGCAAAGGGACCCTAAAACTCAACATGGGTTAAGTGTTGACACTACAAAAGAAGTGTCGATACCTTGCGTTAGGAATTTGTGGATATTTGAAGTAGAAGTAACGCTACTTGCTTTTTCTATTTAGTATAGTATATTTCAATATTAATATTTTTTATAGACAAAATATTACTCCAAATTGATTATAACTACATAATGTCAATTTTTTATATTTGAATTATTAAATTTAACAAAATTTACTAATAAAATAAAATGGAGTGAAAG